AACAACAGAAATGTTATCTAGCCATGGAACTTCCTTATCATGGAACACCGTAAGAGGATGATTATATCTTATCATGTATTTCCAGAACTTCAGCTGGACTTGCAAGATCAGGAGACTGTTGTTTGTCAAACAGAATATGAAAGATAATTCCCTTTCAAATACCAAACCAGTAGAATGTTAGAAATTACATGATACTGTGCTACAGAATACTTCTATAAAAGAAGAGAGTGGAAAATGCTACAGGAAAATCCATTTTAATAAGCCTACAGTAGATGTAATTTCAAAGTACACAGCCACAGTGAAGACTTAAAATATAATTAAGAATACAATCCACACATTAGAGTATTCATCACATAGACATCAGACCTCAGTAGCGTACAGAGTTCCTACAGTTCTATTTCTATTTTTATTTACCTGAACATTTTTTCCTTGCTACTGAACTTGAATCAAATTTGTGTTCAGATATATTTAACTACCCAGTCTCTGTAAGTACATTTTTCAAAAGTAATGTTAGCAGAAAATTTCATACAGCATGAAATTCCCCAAACAAACACAGCAGAGGATGCTCAGGTACTTGTCACAAGATGTAGAGCTCTTGTGGTGAGAAAGAAAAGCAGCATGTATAACAAAGATGCTGTGTCTGAGTTTGAGAGACTTCCCCTACCACCAAGTTAAAGTGTTATCCATCCATTCTTGAGCTAGCACAGAACAATGCTAGCACAATATTTGCTGGTCCCATTGCTGATCCCTATTGACTCTATACTGAGTCATGGTCTAATGGTTTGTGGGTGTGCAACTCATATGAAACATGATTATTTTTCTCCTCTGGGTTTGCTGTTGCCTCTTTTCGCAGGTCACTAGACAACAGCAGAAACATCCACAGATCAGGGTGTTTCAGGAAAACTGAGGTGGGTCTGCGTGTAGGAGTCTGCCTTGGATTCTGTAGGTTGATTTCTCTGCCCTCCCTCTCATACCCTATTTAGTAACTCTCCCATTTTTAAAAAATGGGAAATAAAAAAAATGTGGGAATACGTCTGGGCAAAAATGGCCCCAGAGGGAGACAGACCCTCCCATGATTGTTCAAGTCCTTTAGGGCAGAAAACCTGAAACTGAGTTGTGGTTCAGCAACCACATTTATTGCTATACCTCAAGTGTGAACAGGGAATGACTGAAATTGACAAATATAGAAAAACTTCAAATAAACAACAAAAACCCAATTTGGTATCCTGGTTATTCTCTGGACACCGCAAGGAGGAGAAGAATCTGCAGCATCTAAAGCTAGACATCTGGTTCATAAAACCGTCAAAATGCCCCCTCATCTTCCCCAGATAAAATAGTGGAAATCTGGTGATCTCAGAATACCGTTTAAGCAGAAATAGGCTAATAAAACCCCTCTTCTCCTCCTTTCCCATTATGTAGGCCTACTCTTCTCCTTACTTGATTGAAAGCCTGGAGAAAAGTTGGTATCAGAAACAGAGAGTGGAGATAACAGGTATGAAAGGAACTTAAGAAACCAAGTACCAATGAAGAGAGGGTTGAGGAGGAAGCTAGCTAATAACCAGAAAGGAAGGGGCATGACTATGTCTCCTAACATTCCTCAAAAAAAAAAAAACCCTCTGATTACACCTAAATTCCAAAATAACAGGTAGGAAAGTGTTATGGATTTTATACATCTTGAAGCTGTGGTTGGACAGTGTCAGCTTAAGGGGGGAAATGGTACTTTAATATTAGTATACCTACTGATCACTTAAGTCTGTTTCATTCATGGAATAGGGTCTAGGAAGAGATGAGAACAAGGATAAAGTTTGGAGTTGTATTAAAATGAAAGTGGGGACAGGATCTGCAAAGATCAGGAGATTCATCTCATAGATCAGGTCTACATATGAGATCATAGTATTTATAAAAGAAGCAAGGTATTCTAATTAATCTCACACTTCACCTAGAACACCATTACTATATACGCACAATAACATGAATACATATGTCCACCCCAATCAGAACATCCTTTCTATTGTATAAGAATAAATATAATATATGCTGTGACATTTTTCAAGGTATGCAGAATTAAATTAAAACACCGCACCTGTTTTTTATTATTATTTAAAGGTTATTCACCATACAGTACTAGGATAACATTATCTGCCACAAAACATTTGTTTGCTTGCTTGTCTTCAAACACCTATATCTGAAGAACAAGTCTGAGTAAAAGCTGGTAAACATATATTCAAACTTACCAGCATTTTGAATATTAGTTGAGAGAATCACCCTCTTTACTCTATTTTTGATCTACAGGATTGGCACAATTACAAAACATATATTTTCCTTAGCATAATATTAGGATATCAATACCTTCCAAGACAATAATCAAGAGTTCAAATACTGGTACTGCTCATAACAGTAAAAAATTCTCTGATTATTATATTTTGGTAGATCCCAATATATTTTTACAGCACATAAGTAAGATATGAATTTGGAAAACACACACCCTCAAATACGTACACCATAAATGTATATTCATCAAGAAACCATAATTGCTTGCATTTCTGATTTCTGTTGGTAATATGCTCAAAAGCAGGTGGCATTCTTCTCTATATATACCCCTTTTGGTGTCTGAGAGTTCATAATTAACATTTTGGGGGGAAGGGCTGAGAGCTACAAAGTAGGTGAAGCCACATCACACATGGGCAGGGCTGGATTTGAGAGATTTTCCTTGATTATGTTATTTTAAGCATAATCTGTAGTTTTCAGGTATTTTCCACCTTAGTAAATTGCTGTCAATTTTCAGCAATCATGGCCTGAGGAAGTTCTAGAAGCTGCAAAAACTTGTTTCCACATGCTGATAACTGATCACTGGAGTTGTATATGAAATGACTCTCAGGTCTCAGGTTATTTTATTCTCCAAAGCACCGTTACATTCCTCAGTGTGAAGGGGCCATCATACAATAATTGATATGTTGGACATACTCTAGGCCCTGATGTCAGGCACACTGCCTGTGCCTGGTTCCAATATCCTTACATTATTCTGGTCATCTGCAGCAAAGAAGCAAATATACATGAAGTTTCTCTGAAGACTCAGCAAATATACTAAGTGGGGGGGGGGGGGGGG